AAGAAGCTTTTATTTATCAGCAGTTCAAAGGTCAGCTGTCGCAAATGATACAATACTTATTGCTATACAAAGAGCCAATTATTACATCAAAACTGAATAGTATACAGACTTCTTTGCATTGTATATACCAAAATAATCCTGACGCTCATATATACTATATTTTTATTTGAAGCAAGCGCCCGAATTCACTAAAATACTCACACAAGGGGCAAATATTCTAACAGACGCATTACTGACAGATCGCGCGTGCAACATGCGCGCAAGATATCATCCAAGCGTGGGCAGACCCAGGCATTAACATGCCTGAGCGTGTTAGATAAGGAGAAACATGAAAAAAATATTGAAGAAATTGCTAAGATGGTGACCGAGAATAATAAGAAACAACATTTAACAAAATTAGCAAATATGGTGAAAAATACAAAATTACATCGTGGGGAGAAACATAATTATAGTATTGAGGATCAAGATATTAGAGAATTAGCAGAATTAGTTAGAAAACATAGAAATATTAGTGTACCTCGGACAGCATTTGCAATACGTCAAATATGTACACATCAACGGTTTGGTTATAGCGAATATATATTTGATGTAAATGTGGGTAGTGAACATGTGCATTCATTACCTGATTTTTTTATAAATTTATGTAAAGTATTTGAGTACTTAATTAATGCTATGAAATACTATGCGGAATCGAATACCTCAAAAGCACGATTTTATATCTCGAACGCCCCCCACACTCCTTTCTCAACAGCGGTTCTAAACGTATCGGATATGTTTTTCAACATTTTTGAAAGGCATATGCAAAGTAACGCACAAGAGATTATAAATAATGGTTGGCACACGACTGTTAGCTTGTATGTTTTCCCGAATACCTATACGTCACGTCGTCCTAAAAAACAAACTAAAATGTATAAGTATTTAGGAAAAGATAATATGGAATCGGGTAGTGGTAAAAAAATGATGTGGCGTCAAAACATGGTTGCGAAGTGCGTCATGGTGTTTTTCAGATCGGTAAGGCAAATGTGGAAAACGGGTGTTTGGCTTTAGCATTATTAGTGGGTAGATCCTATTTGTACAACGATACTAAGGCACAAAAATTAATTAGAAATCGTAACTTGACACTAAACGAATTGAAAAGTAACGATGACGTAACAAACATATATACAACTAGCTGTTTACCTGTGGGTGTGCTCCGTATTAATCAGCTTCAACAGGTTTATGACAACTACTTAAAACCGGATGGTATTGATTTGGTTGTTTTTTCTAAAAATCAGGCCGACACAATTGTTTACGATTCCAGATTAGACGGTAATCAGCGAATACACCGAATCACAAACAATGTGATATTTCTTTGGCTAAATGAACAACACTACGATCTTATACTGTCACCGTATACGTTTTCACGTTGAATTTGGGGAAACTTTGTTTTAGTTGTATGCGGTATTTTCGACGTTTTGAGACTAAGAACATGCATGTTTGTATTACATCCCTAACATGTTATCGGTGTTATTCTAACACAACAAAGTGTCCTAAGATACCAAGTTTTGCACAACAATGTATTGTTTCTTGCTATGAGGTTAAGTAAATTTCCAGAAGCATTGGGGATTAAGGATATCGCTAAGGGTTTTCATCCATATCTATTTACAGATTTAAACTATGTTGGTCCTATGATAGGTTTAGAATATTTCGAACCGCCTCCCGAGGGTAGTAAGGAACGTGTAACCTTCGATAAATGGTATGAACAACAGAAGAATAAGACGTATATTTTTCGCGAGGCAATTTACTATTATTGTCGTTTAGATGTGGACATTCTTAGACCATAAGGTTACGAGTGTATTACCCTTTTATGATCGCACATGTCATACTGTGGCGGGTTTGGCACTTAAGATATATCGTAGGAACTTTTTACGGGAAGAACAAATCTGTCAAGTTCCCGCATGCGGTTATGGGGGGAAGAATATCAATCAAAGTGGTATAGCCCTACGTTGGTTGCGTGAAATTGAGAGTGAATTAGCTGAAAACAATAGGCAGCTTGCTAGTAAACTTGCTGTAGGAGGGGAAGTTGAAATTATGGGGCGTTATGGTGATCATGACGACGAAGAACATGTACTATATGGCACGTGGACAAGTGTTGAGATTCAAAAGGCGATTGAATTGGGGGTTATAGGATTCTAATCGTCTATGAGATTTATCATTTTGAGAAACGTGAAAAAATATTTGATCAATATGTCAACACCTTTATGAAGCTTAAGCAAGAAAGTAGTGGGGTTCCAAAAAATTGTTTAAATGAAGACGGAACAATAATAAAAACAAAATTGCAACAGTATATTAGTGACTATTTGGAACATGAAGGAGTGCAATTGGATGCTGAAAAAATTAGTTACAATCCGGGACAAAGAACAGTTATGAAGGCGCTTTTAAATTCGTTATGGGGTAAATTAGCACAAAATGAGGATACAACCGTGGTCTCTTTTCTTGACTCTATGAATGATCTATTAGATTTAGTAAATGACAGTACCGTGGAAGTGACATCCTTAGATTTCATTAGTTATAATATTGCCAGGACAACGATAGGAAGGGTAGTAGTTTAACACTGTTACCCAATTGCAATGTAATTATTGCATCGTTTGTAACCGCATATGCACGATTAGAGTTATTTGAATATTTGCATAAATTAGGCAAAAATGTTTTGTATTACGATACCGATTCTGTGATTTTTGTCGAAAATTTTGAGAGGGGTAAATGTCTTGAAACCGGAGGTTATTTAGGTGAAATGACTGATGAATTGTATGAAAAAGATACTAGTGAAAAGTGGATAGAGCAGTTTTGTTCGGCAGGTCCAAAATCGTATTCTTATCGTACCATCGAGTACACACGTTACTTAAAAGATGGTAGTCAGCAGAAGCAAACTGACGATGTAGTGCATGTAAAGGGTTTTACGTTGAAGGGTGATGCAAAAGAATTGCTTACATTTGACAATATTAATGCGTGTCTAAAAGAAAAAAGAAATTGAGATAACATATCGTGAATTTGTGCGTGAACCCAGTCAAAGTATTGTGGTAAAGGAAAATACTAAAAAATTTAAGTTTACTTTCGATAAGCGTGTTGTGCATGATGATTTTACAACTACGCCATTTGGTTATAATTAAATTTTTTTTTAGACCGATTATGCAGATTGTGTGCTACCTTTCCACCATCCTTTTTATGATGACCATATGCGGACCCACACAATCCGGCAAAACACACAAGATTATTGAGATTATTGACAACATTGACAAATTTATAATACCAACACCTGACAAACTCTATTATACTTATACACTGCAGAACAACCATCATATGACAAAATTAAGGAAATTGTTGGAAACAAATGGGAAACGTCCACTCTTAAGTCATGTGAATTTTATGACTGTACTCGTTTGGGTATACCCACTATAGAGGATATACAGCCACTATTAGGGAATGATACATTAATTGTTTTGGATGATTTAATGGTTTTGGCAATGGCGACTAAAGAAAATGCCGATAAACTAAACAATCTAGCATCGCGTGATAGCCATCAGTTAAACATCTCTGTTTTTGTTTGTCTGTCAAAATTTGAATTACGGAAGTGGTAAATTACGGAATGTGCGAATAAACAGCATGTATCATCTTGTTTTTAATAGCCATACCGATGGTCGAGATATTGAGTTGATTGCTAGAAATAAAGGTGTTCGATTACCTGTTTTACGAAAAGTATTAGCAGATGTTGGAAAAAAACAATATGGTCATCTACTGTTTGATGGTTGCCCACAAGCACCTGCAAACACACGTATTCGAACAAGTATATCATCACCCAATGATCATACGATAATCTATGATTTAGAAAAACAATGTGTGTAAATATTTTAATTAAAAATGAAATAAAATTACATATATTGACTTAATGCTTCTAAATATATTTTACAAATTTGACCTTTACTTTTATGACATTTACGTTTCTATACATTAATCATATTGGGGAATTTTGCATAGGCCAGCGTCTGTAGTTTTTTCCCTCGTTTTGTAAAAGTTCATTGGGTTTAACAGAAAATAAATCAAAGACATCGTCCGATGATAAAAACTATGAAGAAATAATAAACACCATACACCACATGTTTTACTAATATACGATTGATGTGCTATTTGCATATATACTGTAAAATTACAACGTAAACTACAAAAGTAATCTAGGCAATATTTCCGTCCAAAAAAAATCGGTGTTTTACCAAAACTATCAAAGAATGTAATGTCATTGTTGTCTTTAAACAACACAAACCCAATGAACACCTAGTTTATCTTTTTAGTCTGTATTCCATACCCAACATCTATCTTTTACACCTTTTGGTAACACGTCTGCAGGGTAACACCCTAAATAATATGGTTTAATAATTGGGTTTTCTTTTGCAAATTTATCAATATCGTCCGTATCTAAAAACTTGCTTACAAAACACGTCAGGGATACCATTATTTAAGATAAGGCCTTTGACGCCGCCTGTAAAGGCCAGCAGGTCTTTCTGGTGTTTTTTTTTCTTGTGGTTGAGGTGTTCTTACAGGTATCATACTTCCTTGACGCAAAAGTGTTTTATTCTCTTATTTTCTTATTTCTTATAAAAGAAATCGGCATATTTGATTTACGACAAAGTAATAACATTTTAATGTCGATTTTTTTCATCTAAATTTGGTGCTGTTTGAGTATAATTACGTGTTAAATCCTCCAACATATCGGTATATGAAATGCCTAAGTTTGTACCGGCAAAACTGACCCCTTTATCTGAGGGTTTAACACCATTTTTACGAAAATGCTCATTAATTTTTTGTGTAGAAGCGCCAACTGTACCCGGTTTATGGTTTGCCCCCGATGGACCTGCAGCGGGTGGTGGTCCCGGAGCGGCATCTGCGGCATTGTCGGAATTATCCAACCCCACAGATCGACAATAATTGTCACTTTTTCTTAGATAATTAATAACATTGTTGCCTGCAGTTGAGGATTTATTTTTTACCGATTTTAAAACACTATTATGACTTTCGATAAGGCCTGCCTTCTTCAGCACTACGTTTTGTATCGTCCAATAGTTTTTGTCTATTATTATTCTGAGTAAACATTTCCATAAACGCATTAAATTTTCCCGCATCTATTAGCGTTAACCGTTTGACGTCGTCCCCCTTTTTTTTTTAGCTGTTCTTGTTTTATTGCGTCTAGTTGCTGAACAGCTTTACGAATATAACTGTGTATGCACATATCCTCAACCAGTGTAAATCTTTTATCCTTTGCAGGACAATCTTTATTGATGATATATTCCATAACATTTCTGTCACCAGGAGACACGTCAACATCTATTTTCTGGTTTACAATTAATTCACAAATTTCGGGTAATAGAAGGGGTGATTTGTTTGCCTTTTTGCTCCAAATCTAATTTCAAAAATTTAGTCACGCTAGGAATAAGACGACTTTCTTTTTTCTTGCTAATATTTTGTTTTTGTAATTGAAATAAATGCAACATAAATGTTCTTAATGCCTCTTCATCTAATTCATCCGCATTGTCATCATTATCATCATCATAAACTATGTTTTCGACATTGGGATCGATCGATTGAGTATTTTCTGCATTGTTAATTTCCTCACCATCATCATCATCATCGTATCCCATTAATTCAACATTCTCGGGTAATTCATTCTCAGTTATTTCGTCTTCAACTATTTCAGGTTCATTTTCTTCAACATTTTCCTCTTCACCCTCATCATTGGGTTTGGTGGTCAAGGTCGGCAAACGAAAGATTCACTTTTTTTAGGACCGCCTGTTTTTAACTTGTCATTCTTTCCCTTCATGATGACATATGATCCTAATGTTAACATGTTTGTAGTTTTTATAGATTTGATGAAGACTACCACCCTGAAATGTTAAAACCAATTTTTTAGTATTCCTTTTATTAAAAATCTTTTTTAAAATTTTATTTTTTCGCCAGCAAGAAGCAAATCAACAATCCCACCTTTTTGTCATGCTCCTGAATGTTTTATTGCAGGTTTTTGTTTTGTTTGTTTTTTGGCAATAACGTTAGTTCCTAAAAAAACCCCAAAGACCACCTGCTTGTTTTTTTCTTCGAGATGTCCTTTTTCTCTTACACACATAACAACGTTGTTTCCCCATTGTCAGGCCATAATACAATGTCTGTTTAGGATTTAAAAATCATATTTTAAACGTGCTTGTGTACCATAACCAACACTCAATTTCGAAATTCACCAACGCAAATAAGCTGTTGTGCAACGGCAGTATCCTGACTAAAATCTATTTTAACACCCACATTACCACTTGTTGCATTTGGTAAAACTTGAGAATAACCATCACGATTTGGAGATAAATCATTAACAAGAATACCATAATCGGTTACATATTCGCTGTAAGAAAATGGCATTTCACTATGATAACGATCCAATATTTGACGTAAAGATACATGTGCTTCTTTTGAACTATGGTAAACTGGAGGTATTTCGGCTTCGTTGATAGTAACCATGAAATTGGTCATATCCGGAAAAGGAATACGAAAGGGGTTTAACGTGTATGCACCATTGTATCGGTCTTGCGGTATAACTTTCGTAACTAATCTGCCCGGACGTGCCCCATTAAATATATCTTTATGCTGAATATGACGGCTGTTAATAGGAACCGGAAATGCCACATAATGATAAGTGGTACGATAAAATCGACATTCCTCATTCTTTTGAATCATCAATTAATTAATTGCAGCACTTAATTGGGTGTTGGGTTTTAATATGGGTATTCTTAATTCAAAACTGTTGTATGGTGGCCCAGCAGCGCCATAGCATTTTCCTATATTTTTATTTAATTAATTTTGATTTTAAATACATTTTTAAATAAAATTACAATACACACTAGCAAAGTAAAAACATATTAAGATTAAATTTAAAATAAAAAAGAAACAAAATAAAAACAAATTAAAA